AATGCACAATTTCGGTGGAAATGAGCCAGCTGACATTTTGGCTCAGATTGACTGGCACCAGGTGATTGCAGAGGCGATTTCCACAATTTCCAGGCAGAGGCCAAAATTTGGCGGGGCTATTTGCTAACGCCCTCCAAAATGATGTTCACCATTTTAAACAGCACCATTATTGCATATTTCATTGAATTTAAAACATTTACTTGAGCATTGAGCAAAAGGAATAAATAAATTTTTCTTTATCAGCATAGATAAGCTCAACCAAATGAGCAAAACTTTTAAGCTGGAATTTCAGACTGTCAAATTGTGAAAAATACTGTGTCTCTCGGGAACGAATTCCCCATTTGTTGTTTGATGTTTTAATATTTTCTCTGGGGAACGAATTCCCTATAAAGGATTTTTTTTTTCGTTGGCATTTTCTTATATTTTTTAACGATTGTTTTTTTTTCTAGAAAGCTCTACCACTATTTATATTATACTTTGTATACTCGATTTTATCAACATTCCATATTGATTTATTGCTTGAATTTCGCGTTTGATTGTTGAATTGCTATTAATTCTATGAAATGGGTTTTAATATCAGTGCTGACCACCGGACCACCGACTTATTAAATATTCCCCATCCCCTTTTCCTTCAAAAACTTTTAAATACGCAAGCGAAATTCGTTCAATTAAATCAAATCGTTAGAGACGCAACAGGAAATGAACTGGTCGCAATTACCGTTACCGAATGGTGACCCCGATCCAGACCATCCTGCCCAACAGCACCCCCCTTAAAAGCAAAAACTCTATTTGCCACCCCTTCCCCACCGCTTCTGACAGTCTATTTTTGCTCCACACCCACAAGCAATAATTTTTGGCAATTTAATTGAAAACCGAAAATGGCAAAGTTCCCAGTTGACCAGGGGACGAAATGTTTTTAAAACAAAGGGGCGGGCTATATCACCCTAAAATGTTTCGGGGTCGGGATCGGGGTCGGGGGTAGGACGAATATCGGGGCACGCGTGCGCAACAAAAGCAGACAAATGGTCACAGTCACGCGCCAAGAGCTAAAAGGTCAACAAACAAATAAACAATCCATAGTCCGAGCAAAATAGAAATAATGCCGGGGTTGGGGGTGCTGAAAAATAAGGGTCGTCGTTCCCCAGTGTGCCAAAATCGAATACCTAGCATAGTTTTATAAATTTTGCGGTTGCCATTTGGGCGGATGTTGTGAACTTTCGAAGAGGGGTATTTTTTCTAACTAGCGAAGAGGGTTCCATCGAGCTCATTAAAGGTCAACTGTGAAAATACTTTATGTCCATTTATTGTCCTTCATGGTTTAATGAGGCCATTTCCCCAAGACCAAAGAAGGCCCATCAACTTGTTTCCCATTCTGGTGTGTGAAGGGTTATGTGATGATGGGGAAAGGGTAGCACCATTTTAATGGTATAATAATAACAGAAGGGTTCTGTGGGCAAACTCGACCAGTTGAGGGGTTTTCACGGACACGGCAGCAATAGATTACTTATTAACCCAGTGTTTAAACATAATAGACTCTCTGTAAAACAAGCAACAGAAGCACATTTAACTTCACAAAATAATATCCCCGATCCTTTTTATTCACATTCATTTTTAAAGATTTTTTTTAGCAAGTTAAACATATCAACGTTTTAAATTTTAAATTATATGTAAATGAAATAAATTGAACTAATTTGTGACTAAGTTTTTATTTTGGAAAATATCTAGGGATTCCAGAAAATACTAAAAAAGGCATTTAAATTCACTTTAAATTCAGGTTATGACTTGTGTAAAGCCATTTTTTACAAAGCCGAATTGAACAATATCCTGGAAAATAAAACCATTTATATATCTTCTTTATCAGTGGCAAAATGCATCTTTGATTTCAGCCGTCAAAGTCCTGGGAAATTGACTTATACGGCGTATGCTTAAACATCAATTAATTATTGTGCATCCGACGTTGGCATTTCGGGCCATTAGTTCATAAGTGCAACAATGTCTATAGATACACTCTGTAGCTATATCTGAGTTCTGTGCTTTGTGCTTTGTGTGTCCGATTTTAAAACCATAATTCATCATTGAGCCCGCTGAATGGCTGTCGTTTCTGTGGACTAATGATTTCCCAACTGAAGTTTCTGGCCAGGGCAGTAAATGAAATTGAGTTTTTGGTATTCGGTGCGGACAAAACCTGTCAGAAATTGAGCAGTAAGAGATAGAATTCTACGGTTCTAATTGCCTATAGAGTTATTAACCATTTTCTAATGATTTCGGGCTGCGGTTACCGTCATTTGAGAACATATTCTTGATGCACCACGAAAATGCAGGTGTTCACCGCCGTTTTGAATCCAAAAAAAAAAAAAAGCCAAAAAAAAATAAACTCGATCCCGGCTACAAATTGGAACAGAATTGCAGAGATCGCTGGAGATTGATTCGAGGACCACCCATCTGAAAACTCAATCGACGTCTTCATTTGTCTGGCTGGCCATCAAATCAGGTAGCAGATCATCGGATATCGGGGTCACAGGTCAGGCGAAACCTTTTCAAGTGGGTTTGATCAACTCGGGATATCACCATTGTTCACTTTTTCCCATAATTGGTAAATAATTGCAGTGCTCAAGGGGAAATCGTTTTTTATTGAGGCATAGTTCCTCTTGTCTGAAAACTATTTTTTAAAATCAAATTTGTTTTGATATACAAACATTCTTGATTAGGAAAAAAACGTAATTTATGTAAACAAAAACTTAAAAAATTTAAAATATTTTGTTTAACATTCAAAAAATAGTTTTCGTTTTTAACTGTTTTATCTTAAATTATTGACTCCAACCAACTCTTTGTGAGTGTCGTAACTGGAATTTTCACATCGCTGGCTGCTTTGGGTCAAAGTTCAAACACATTAGCAAATTAAGCGTGAAGAACGATTGTCACCACACTTCCCACAGTCCGCCGATCAATTCAATATCCATCTGTGAAAAATACGGAAAATTCGTGCAGCAGTGCGACGGAAAAATGGAAATAAAATTAACACACTTCAAATCGGGCGAATCGGGAGAATCGTATCGGGTTTTGTGGGAGGGAAAAAGAGGAAGACACTGGGTAATAAATAAAGCGCAGCGAAAGTGCGACATCAACGACAAAATAACAATCTAATAAATCACTTATTGGTGATTCGGGCGAGGGGGTTTTGTGTCGCTATATAGATATATGTATATCCCTCTGTATAGGGTGATAAATTGCTCCGTCACACACACGACACACGAAAACAAAACAACAATGATAACTGCAGTGTGCTCTCGCATTGGCATCTATGCATCTGTCAGATACGCAATTTCATTTAGTAGATTGCACAGAACGCATTCAAACGTAACTGGTATTTTTGTTGTTTTTGTTTCCAACAAACCGGGAAAATCACTCCCCCTTTTTGCGATTTTTCCACGCTTTTGGTTGGGAGGTTAATTGACAGCGCAGCAATTAAACAGAAAAGAAGTTGTTTGTTCGAAACTCGATGTTGCACGGGCAACAAGTGTTCGTCGCCGAAATGTTGCCAGCCGGAAAAGCCGTCTCTGCTTTTCCACCCGATTTTCCAAACATTTGTCGTTTTCTTTGGCATCAAGATCGTAAAATGAAATCCCGAAAAATAAGACATTAAACTTGGTTCTCATCCCCTAGCGAAATGTTGCAAGAGGCCCTAGCAACATGCTGCGAACTTCGAAGGAGGTTGCGATTGTGGGACAGTGAAATCAAAGAATCTTAGAAAATAGTAATTAAAATACAGATTTGTAACTACATTTATACACGTCTTAAAGTTCTATAATTTTCCAAAGTACCGTATCTAAACATTTACACACTTTCTTCTTAATTAAAAAAATGTATGTAATATATATGAAATATTTTTTTAAATACCATTATTTTCATAGCTTTTCTGCCCCCAATAAAGTGGCTACCATTTTTAATGCTCCATTCTAAAAGTTTTTTGACAAACCCCATAAAGATTGAGCAACAAAAAACGTGTCAAAACTCGACACCAGTCACTTGTAAAAGTGACGAAATGCGGCTTAAGTGCCGCCGCCCAGTTTCTCCGCCCATAGCCATTTGACCTTGCTGACACACGAGAAAAAAAGGGTTAAGTTCTCCGCCGCCTAACGGTAGCCACTCTCCATCTCTTTTCATCTCCACTGAAAATATAATTTGCGAATAATAATGAAAATATATATAAAGCCACGTCATTTAAGTTTTTCCAAAAACAATGCATTTCATATTTCTGTTATTTCTATCATTCTTCCCATCTCCCTCTCTCACTTTGCAACATTTTGAGTCTGCTGGCAACATAAGAGCTGCAACAAGCAAATACGCATAGTGTGTATTAAATGCTGTAAAATATGCCTTTTTTCACAGAATGGCTTTGACTGAGTTACTTTAAACATAAGCAATTTAAAGCTGATGATTGATTGAGCATGGGTACCTCTTTTGTAAACTAATTTATTTAACAGAGTGCTTACAAACATAAAAATATATAAATTTCCACAAATTATTGAATATAAGTAAATAATTAACTTACCTTTTTAAGGCGTTTTATGATCTGATTTTTTAAGAGTGTTTCTTAATTATTCTTTTAACCACAATTCATTTATTATTTTACTGTGTGTAAGGGCAACAGTTTTTTTTTAATATTAAGTTGTTACAATTTTCTTATATATTAAACTGTTTAAATGTTGTCGCCATTATTATTAATAAAACATTATTTTTATATTTACCAACGTGGTATTAATATGCTCCACTCATGATGACATATTTTATAACCATAACATACATACCAAATTTTAGATAAATCAGTTGTCATTTACTAGACTTCCTAGTAAAGTAATGGCTGGGATACGATGTGTTTTTGTATATGCCACTGTGCGACGCCTGCGCTAGCGCCTCTGCCAGTGCCGCTGTCGCTGGCTCTGCCGCCGCCTCTGCCGGCGTTAGTGGCGGCATTTCGACTTGGGTTTGTGGACGGTGCTTTCAGTTACGTTTCGACGGCCAACGCGTCGAGTGCTCCGCTCCGAATTCCAAAATCCAGCCACAATTCCCACAGAACGCTCTCTCGCGCTCTCTTCACTGTCTGTGTTAACGGTCGTGGCGCGTCGTGTGCGTGTGTGTTAGTGTGCCAGTTAAACAATGGGAAATTGGTAATAACAAATAAAAATAATAATAAATACCTATTACACCATTACTTGGCCACGGAGAAAACAAACCGAGACAGCCGAAATTCCCTAAGAACCAAAAATAAACTGACGGCATTCTTCTACATTTTTTTTCTAAACTTTTTTTAGCGTGTGACAAAAAAATATAAAAATATGGGACCTTCTCTCTCTCCCTCTCTCTCTGTTGCTTTTTTGTTTAAGATTCCAATGAGTCACGTGCATAAGTTTTTTTTATTAATTTCCATGAAAAACTCCATGAAAATACTATGAAAACTGAAAACCCTTTGAAAACTCCCTCTAAAACCGAGTCAGAGAAAAGTGCATATAAAAAAAATAACATCAACTGAAAAACAAGAAAAATAAAACGGAAAACAGGTTTTTGGGCCCGCTTCGCTGCCAACAAAGTTGTTGTTGCCAACAGTGAGCGCTGGAAATTGACTCACACTTGCAGCTGGGCAAAAGAAAAATATTATATATAAACATAAATTAGAAAAGCCTGCAAAAAGTTGCCCACAACTAATCCGATATGTTAACAACAAAAATTGCCACAGCAAAAGATGCTCAAGTTTCACAACCAATTTCTGACGGTTTCCTTTTTCTCTTTGCCTGCCAAAATCGCCTTTATGATGTCCCAAAGCAAAAGTTAACTTCGTTTGCTGCGGCTTCTGGCAAAAGTTTTAACGTGATTAAATATTTGTTTAAACTGTTAACATGCCAAGAATAAAGTCAAAGTTGCAAAATTCATTCCTTGCTCTTTCTCGGTGATTATTTTTAAAAGTTTTCAAGTCTTGCTTTTTGCAATTTTATAACTAAAATTTTAAAAAGATACAAGTTGTCAGTTATGCTTTAATTAATTGGTTTATTGGATTTGGTTTAAATGTCAAATGCAAATAAATCACGGCATTTATGTTTCCTCTGATTTAAAAATTTTGCTCGTGCTATGGGAAAATTACATTTCTAAAATACAAATCTTACATTAAGTACATTAAGAAAGCAACGATTTTTACAATTCCTGTTAAAATTAAGAAATCAGTCCAGAGTTTTAAATAACTTCCTCCTTTTTAAATTAGCTTTAAATGTTTGGCTTAGTCAAAAGTCAAAATCAAACCATTTGACATCAAAATTAATAATTCTCGAATATCAAGTGGAAAACTTCTAAACTTTTAAGCAACTTGAACAGATTGCCAAAAATTCTCCCGCCATCGTTTTGGTTTTTAGCGTTTGCAAGTTTGCCATTATAATTAGCGTTTTTGAAACTTTATGAATATTTTAAGTCTGCTTGCCGAGTATTTTGTTAGGATGTCTCAATTTGCCAAAAGTGGGACAAAAAGAGCTAGTGTGTGCTAATTAAATTCCCAAAAAAATATTTTGCGTGCTGCAGAGACACACATACGGGGTTTTATAGAAAAAGTCAAGGCCTGCCCTAAATATCGATTACCCAGTAACTGTAATAACAGTAAGCCAAATGAGGGGGCGGTGAGGACACCCCTTCTTGGAAAGTGGGCTTTATTAGTGAGAAAGACAAGTTCGCGGAAAAGCAGCTACAGTTTTCACTCGCTTGAATGCCAAATTTAAAATACATTTTTCAATTTTTTTTTAAGATTTAAAGCAAGTGGTTGAATTAAAATATATATTATCTGTTATGGACTATCATTTTATCGGTAAAAAACTAAGACCTTTCATTAAATGTATTGAGCTATTATTCCACCTTTTTTTTATAAGCCTTCTTAATAAGAAGACACGTTTCGAAAATGATAAGTGCTCTATTAAATAGAAAATGGTAAAATGTATCATTTTTAATTAAAATATAAATAATAAATAGGGGTCTGTAAATGGGTTGATCAAATTATATATTTTTTTGATGTTAAAAGTTTGAACAAAATGTAGTAAATGTAATAACAATACCATTAAATTGGTATATATTTTTAATTTAAAATATGAAACCATCTAACAATTTTTTTAACGAGCGATGACTGTACCGGAGAACTTGTTGCAACTCAAGGACTTTTGGCATAGGTGCAACTTCAGTGTGGTAGAAAGAGGCGAAGCTATTTGGAGGGGCTACGAGGAAGAGAGAGAGAGAGGTAGATTGAGTCACGATTAATCGGAGTGACGAAAGCAAATAGGTTCGCATAACCCCCCAAGAAATCGCTAATCGAATACGCTCTTTCCCTCTCTTTCGTAGAGATAAGAGATACGATATAGTCTCTCTGTCTATATAGTAATCTCTTTCACCCCCAAGATAACGATCGCCGGAGAACACATTTTATTGAAAATATTATTAAGAATTGTATTTAAGCATTCAGGCCCTCTGTTCTTCGCTTACCTTATTTTAAAACCCCTCTGTCTGAAATCCCCCCTCAGTCTTTCCTGCACTACGTGTTTCGACTGCTGAGAGACCCGCAATTTCCGTTACAAAAACTGGCCAACATGTGCGAAGTCGGCGGCGCAGCAGGTTTTTTTTTCTTCTTTTTCGTTTTTTTTTTTGTCTTGGGTGCCGCCAACTTTAGAATGCAAAAGAGACAAGCCACACACAACACACATATAACACCAAAAACCATTCGTGTGCGACGCGTCTTCCTTAGCTTCTCACCCATAAATGCCAACATTTGCCATTTGAATCAGAAATGCTAAAGTTATGACAAATACCAAATGCAGATGAACTTCTCAAGCTGAAGACAAGTACAAAGAGTCAGCAAAAAGACTTGACATTTATTTTAAGAGTTATTAATACAGAAACACTAAACAATTTAAAACTTTTTAATTAACTTAGGTTCTCTCAGTGGGTTTATTTTAAATATCATAATTTAATGAAAACTCCTAGTTTGATTTATTTCAAACTTCTTGAAGTTAGGAGAAAATATAATATTTTGTGAGAACCACTTAATTAAAAATTATAATGTTTATTTAATGGTTAATGTAGGATTAGCTTTTAAGAAATTCATAGTTTATCAAAAACATATATCAACTATTCAGAACCTCACTAATTCCACAACTTTTCCATTGTTCTTTAATATATTATTGCAGATAATTCACACACCCAAACAGCTACAAACAAACACCTGAAGTGTTAACCAAAAATTTAATTAATTGTGCAATCACTGGCGCCGAAACAATCTACAATTTTTTAATAATTTTTTTTTGTGTGCAACCGTAAACAAACCAAAGAAGTTACAGACGAGAGCAATCAATTTGCGAGCGGGGAAAACTACTACTGCTACAAAAAGCAAAAAAAAAAAAAAAGCGATAAAATGGGTGAACTGCGAAAATCGCTGCCGCTGCCTTCATTCGGCGTCTTTATAGCCCTGCTCCTCTGCTGCTGCTCTTTAATAGGTGAGTAATGGATAAAAACGCTCCCCAAATCCCCAAGATATTAGGTATTATAATTAGAAATGGGAACTAAATGCACAAATTGTGCTGAAAGTTGAAAATTTATGGGCTTTCGATGGGTCATATGAAGTTGTAGAAAGCTATAGATATCTCTCTTAAGTCATCATTGTTTATGATATAGAGACTTTTTGTACCTCTTTGAAAAAAACTGGGATCTTAAATAGGATGACAAGAAATGTAGTCTTTTAAGAGTTTATAAGCAAGGATGTTTTATGAACTACTAAAGATTTTGACACCTCGCCAAAATTTTCTGAAAGAAATCTTGAAAGTTGTATGTCGTGCAACGACATCATAAAACTGGTATAGTTCGCTTAATTTTTCATCTAGGTCTTAGTTATCATTCTAAAATTTGACACATCATTAGCTAATATACCCATATACCATTGTAACCAAAGACAATTACGACTGTGATAAGCACTCCAATGAGATCTTGCAACTAAGGACTGTAATATGCTAAATCCCGCTTATCAGTGAACAGGGTCATAAGAATTTTTGTTATTTGTTATCCCACGAGATCTAGGCAGACAAATTACCTGAGCACTTGCCGGTTACCTGATGCCATAGGCGACCATGAAACGAGCGCGCTACGCAAATAGAGACCCAAAAAAGTTAAAAACAACATCCCAGGAAAAAACTAAAATCATCATGTTCCTTATCGCAATCACCCCGAAATTCAAGAGTCAATATTTGTTTTAACTTAGAACAGACTGACTATACGGGCTCTGGATTCCAAATCGTAGCTGGTCAAATATCGTAAATTTTTCAGTGCACATGGGAGAACTACACACGCAGATATACTCCTATAATTCCGGCACCTGACTTTGGGGCCGTAAAGTTTTGGGCAAACATTCGCCTAGACAACTAAAAATATTGCACATGAGTCGCCTGTTGAATAAGACTCGGTTGCTATGAGGTTCAATAAGAGGTTTTGAAACTTAGTTTTTAAAATATGAGAAGACTTTAGATTTAGCATTTAATTTTTAAGTTTTTGGATCCTAAGAAACTTATTAGTCCAAGAATTTATTATTCAACTGGGAACCTCAATGGTGATAATAGAATCTCAAAAAGTTTATATCAAATTAATGAAGATGGTAAATAATCAGCTAATTAAGCCTAAAAACAAAACGAGTTTTTATGGAATTAATGAGCCTAACAAAACGGTACAAGGTGAAACGATGTCTAAACGTGCAAAAGCTGATCATATAATTATTAATTAATGGATAAATAATAGGCCAAAAAGAAAGAACCAAGAACCAAACACTAACATTAGTTTATAACCCAAAAAACCAGACTTGCAACAAATCGACTTGGCAGACTCATAACTCAGACAGTTTATAGGGCCGCAAAACTGCTCGGGCAAACTGTAAAGTCCCGAGAAGATTCCAAAGTCGACTTCCCAGCAATTACCGCATCCGGTTTGGACCACAAAAGCTGGCGAGGCCTTTTAAAAATGTTCTAATACCACAGAAAGTCTAATTTAATTAACGCTACTTCTTCTCCCCTCCAAAATCTCTCCTTTTTTTCCTGAGAAAAATCACTAAGAGGAAAGATAAAAATTGGTAAAGTCATTTCAGGATGACTCAGCCGGTAATTGATAATGTTTTGGGATAGTTGAAAAAATATATTTATATTTTTCCTCAGGAGCCATTCTTTTGTAGAAAGTAGTGAAAAAAGTGGGAACTCTTTTGTGGTCAGTTGTGCTCTAATTTTCGAGCAGTAAACTTACAACTTTTTATGTTGTTTGACGCTCGCTTTTTGTTTGCCGCGCGCTCTAAAACGGCAGCTTGTTCCATATATTTTTTGTGAGAAAAACACTTTGAGGAAAAGCTGGAGAAAATGGTCTGAGCAAAGGGTGGGGTGGGGGGGCTGTGCTAAAGTAAAAAAGGGTGGTCAGTCCTAATTAGCTAAGCCCGAAACTGGCTTAATTGGGTGCCGCTTTCACTTTGTCCATTGCGCCTGGGAAAATTGTCAGTTAGACAGTTCGTCATACAATTAATGGACTATGAGGGTCCCGAGATGAATGGCAAATCCAAAGGGGACAAAGGGGCCAGCAGCATCTTAAGAACTGCACTTCATCTTTTCACTAGTCTTTCGAAATAGAACCAATTAAAACTGAACAATATATTGCAAAACAAATTAATAAAAACTAAATAAAAAAATTGTATTGGTTTTTTATTTGTGAGCAAAGTATTAAGAAATTCTGCACATTAAACCAGTTATCAGCTGAAGAAGTTTAGTAGCTTTTATACATATGTGATATGTCACGATTCGTATTTCCTTTGGAATGCTAACAGTTCGATCGATTTTGCAAACAAAACAAACGAGTAACATAAAATATAGATTTTTTTCCTGACTGATTTGTATTTGGTGGTCCAGCTTAAAAACACTTATAAAAAAAACTTGTTTGATTTCTTAAATTTAAATTTTGAAGATTCTTAGATCTTACAAGAACAAAGAAAAATCAAATAATATACACTGACAGACAAATAACAAAATTTAGTTTTAAAGGAAATAAACCTTAAAGCATACAACCTTTTTGCACACACTGTTCATTTTCTGTCTTAAATTACTGAAGAACATGAAAAGAGGAAGCTGAGTTTTCAGAAAGGGGTCTTGAGTGTATAAACCAAGCCCATGAACTCGACTTAATACCTCTTCCTCGAACTGAGGACATTCTCAGAATTCTCTGACTCATATATTTTTGACTTCTCTTAGTCCAGTGTCTCTCACGCCCAGAATCCCCCGATCCCCCATACTATCTACATACCTTTATATCGAGGAGAGAGAGTCGAGTGGATGGCTTTAGAAAGAGATGGGGATGGGGAACATCAGGTTGCTGCTGCTCAAGTTGTTGCCTGAATGGGACAGCTTATGGTCAAGCGGGCAACTCTTGAGTTCTTTCTTTTCTTGTCTTTTGTGCCACTTGACAAGACAAAGATAGAGCATGGCGAAGAAAGAGAGGGCTGAAGTGGTAGCGAAAGAGAGGGGCGATTGTGAGCGAAAGAGTGGGGTAATGGGAAGACAGGAAAAAGGAAATTCCAATTATGTTGCTAAGTCTGACCGTGCGTAGAAAAGAATTGTTGCCGCTTCTTGTTTGCCACTCACTCACTCACCTCCTCTATACAACCTCCTCTCGCTCTCAGATTTTCTTCACGATTTTTCCTTGTTTTAATTTTAATCCAGTAATGCCCGGAAAGCCTTGCATTTCGCTTTAATTAATAAAACAAAACAATTTGGATGGAACAACATAACAAAAGGATTCAAGTGGATTGCTGAAATGATAATGAGCTGTGCCCTGCTGTATATATCGCTCTCTCTCTCTATCTCTGATTATATATGTATATATAATATAGGTGCCAATCTGTGTACAGATCTTTATGGGTGCTTGATTTTTCAATGCAGCCAGTAACCCCAAAAAAACTTCACCATAATTAGCAGGCATTGTTGCAAAAAAAAAGCCTGCCCAAAACCATTTAAATTAACTGCAAATGAGCTGGAAAACCCTCTGATAAAATGCAGAGAACTTTTGTGAAACAAGGAAAGTGATGTCTTTAAAAATCTGCCCTTACCAATTTAACAAAAATACAAAACAATGTAATTATTACAATGAAAAGCATAATTATGAGTGAAAAAAATATGTAAAAATAAGCTGAGAAAAAAAAGAAACCACAAAGTTAAGAGGGAAAATATTAAAGAATTGAATTAGTGTGAAAAATATGGCAATGTATTAAGTTGCTTTTACTTATTATGGAATGCAGTGAGTGTGGGTAAGAGAGAGTTGGACCAAAAAAAAAAAAAGAGGGGTTAAGCCCGCATAATCCCAATGAAGCTCAAACAATGAGTCGGAGCAAGACAAGATACATTCCTATATGTATTTAAAACAAAAAACGACACAGCCCGGCAGCAAACAAAGAATGCACAGAAAATACAAATGAAGGATTGTGTTGCTGAGCCTCCGCCGACCCTCGCTTTTCCCCACTTGGATTTTTCCATCTTCAAGTATGATGAATGAATTTTAAATTAAAATTCAGACGAACAAAAAATGATTGGGCCACATGTGCCTCAGGTCCACCACCCGCATTGCGCCCAATCTGGGGCCCAACTTAGTACTAAACCACACTTGCAGAGTACACGAAAATTAATTTCTACGACTATGAGTCTTTAAATATTACCATCGATCAAACTACTAAATTTTTCTGAGCATGACTATATGTTTGATCTAAATTAAACACTCTCTCAAGCAATTAAACATTAATAGAAAATTGTAAAAAACTAAAGAAATTAATAAACAGTTTTAGTTTTTCAACTTTTACACCTTAAATATCATATGTCTTAAGCCATGATGTGAAGTTTCTATTATATTTTAAATGTCCATATAAATAATTTCCCAGAAAATGTTTTGCCGGAGCCACCTGATGCTCCTGAATTGTTTAAAAGTGGCTAAGAGATCGAGATCTCGAGTTCCCGATTCTCAGAGACAGGAAACAACGTCCCGAGACGTGCCGGGCCTAATAACCAGCCGAAATTGAGTTATAACCGATTGGCAGCTATTCGATTTGGGACCCGTTCCTGAGGCCTCTGCCTTCCTACCTATCTTTCTACCTGTTTTCCATCCTATCGGAACCGAACCATCTGGGAGGTGCTCAGGTAACCCGATGACGCCCCGGCATACACAACTAATTGCTAATTGGATTATGTCTTGCTCGAATGGGACTCTACAACTGGGGAGGGGGTGGTCATCGGGAAGAAAGGGAGATACACATTGGTCACATATATATGTATAGAGAGAAATAAGGGAAGTGAGGTTAGGTCATTGATATCCGCCTTTGGGCGTAATCCAAACGGTCATCGCAAGCCCAGACGAACCTGAGGGTTGTTGTTCGGAATGTTTTTAATTGACTTGCCCCACTGCAATTGCATAACAATGAGATACACCCCCACAC